TTATGCATGAGTTAACCTACTACATGTAGTATATTTTAAAAAAAAAAAAAAAAAGACAGAAATAGGACTGTTGAAAGGAGTTGCGATACACGTTAACATTTTACCATACAGTGTGTAATATGGTATCTTTCTAATTGGTAACTAAACCTGACAGGTACATTTGCAAGTTCAACCACTTGAAGCAACAACACCAATACTCTGAGTTCTAGTCGAAATATGTAACGCTTACTGTTGCTTTCTTGGTGTCAATGGAATTTGCCTACTTAAACACAATGAGGAAGTAGTTCCACTTCTGGATGCAGAGCTTCATTTGAAAATAAAACTAAGTGCCTCCTGAAAACTCTTAACATAAATCAAAAGGTCACTTTTTGACAGTGGCTGCATAGACACAGAATTCTGAAGGTGTTGCATCAGAAAGGTTCAGACTGGAAAACATAGAAAGCTTGTGACTATAAGGTCAGGTGGCCATAAATCTGTATGTCAGAAATTACCTGTACTAAAATTTTTCTTTTCAATGCAAAGTACAGTTTCTTAGTTTTTTTAATGTTAATACATAATTTCTTGTCAGTTACCTAAATTTATTGCCTTGTTAGTGAGAAATCTGGATGAAAAAGCTGGAAGAAATAGGTTTGGAAATTGACAGCTGAAAAGGCTCGTATGGCAAAATCTAGCTACAGTCCTACTCTTGAAGATTTCAGAAGGCATTACTAAACTTACAGTATGGATAATACCTGGTTTAGTGTGCCATCTGAAACATTTATATGATTGAGCAGCATAAGGCAGTCACAGAGTGTGAAGAGTTTGTAAGGGTTACTGAGGCTCAACTCCCGGTGCTCCATTGATGCCTCTCTCAATATATCTGTTTTGCTTCTAGGACTATAGATTCTACTGGTGTATGTGTTGTAACTTGCAAGGGATGTTTTTCCTCATATTTGAATATTACATTTTGTGAGTAAGTGCTCTCCTTCAGAGAACACAGAATTTCTCTGTCAGTTGGTAGAATGGAGAACTTGAATTAAAAGATGGCATGGGAAGGTCTGAATTCATTTAGCTTACTAAAATGGAAGCTGAGATAACTTATTATTAAAATCTGTAAATATGTTAAGCATGTTACCAAGAGGATGTCAAAAATAAGATCAATTTGGCAAAATAATACATTTGTTTGAATTAGTCATTAATACAGGTACGTTGAAAATTAAAAGCAAAATCCTGTTTACTGGAGAAAAGGTAGTAAGTGCATATACTGTTACCCTCAGTGTGTTTTACTGTAACCCTCGAGACCCTCTATGTCTTTTGCAAGGCATTTTTGCTTCCTTCTTCCAAAGGAAGATGCTAAGTACAAAGAGTTTCTTCCTGTAGAAATGGTCTTTCTTTCCTGTCCCGATAATACTGAAGCTGGGGAAAACTAGTCAATCAGCTTGGGTGTTTCAGGAGTGGAACATGGAGACTTGCCAATTTCCAAACAACAATCACAGATTTAAAACATTTGGTGCCAGGTTTAATAAAAGACCATAACACAGCTGGAGATTGTAGGCATGGATGCTAGGTCAGTACCAGCTAGCCTAAGTGCCTCAGCTTTGCCAGACTTAATCCTATCTCAAACCCAGACACTGTTGTAGCCCAGAGCCCAAAACAAGGCCAAATGAAGTGTAAAAAAGCATGTCTCCTTTGATAACACTTGTCCTGGCTTAGGGCATCTTTCAAAATACAGTGCAAACATGGTAAATGGAAGCTAATCTCTTCTCCCAGTTATCTTATTCTATCTTAGCTGACGTTCCTGATCTGCTACTGGATGAAGTTTTTAAGTTGTTTGCAAGAGCTGTAGTTCAAATCCTAGTTTAGTGCTCATGGAGATACTCCAGCAAAGACAAGAAATATGTACAAACGATTCTGCACTTCTGACTTCACTGTAACTCAGAGTTCTATACGTGATCCATTTTTAGCAGGCGTGTTCCGCAGCCTCTCCTGTCTGTAGCTTTAACTCTGCACTCAGCCATAGATCACACATCTCCATTCAGAGCAGAATAAAATAAAAAATATTTTCTTATCACAGGTCTATTCGTAGGCCAGATGACTTTACATCATCCAGTAAGGCAAAGATTATCAACAGTCTCTGTTGGTTTATAGTTCTAGTTTTGTCCCTATAAAAGACTGTGTGTTTAAGTTCCCTTTGTATTCTACAGTGACTTCCCCTGTTTTTCTGTCTTAAATTCGAGTTGTCTCCACCTTCTTTAAGTATACTCTGTCAGACAGTTTTGACTGGTCAAAATGCACTGTACTATTGCCATGAGACCCTTTCCTGGGAACCTCTTACATTCAGTCCCCGTCAATTTCACCTATAGTACTCATTCTGTCAGAAGAACCATTTCATATCATGCAGGAAGAAATAGTGTTAAGACAATATGAAACCCAAAAATAAGTTACTGGTGGATTATATTCCTTGGTGTCCTGACAGTTCATTTTCTCATTCTCTGCTAATTTTCAGTGTTCTGTTATGTCATTTGTTTGCAGATCACTGCTAATATGTAGAATACAAACTAAAGGTAGTAGTAAAAACACACTTTTCCATTTGTAAGTTTATATATTGCCTGACTTCAAAAAAAACAGCATTTCCACTTTGCTGTGCTTATTGCATCGTTTTCTTCTATACATTTATTTTAGATATAGAATAGTTAGCATTTTAAATGCACTCTTTCATGATTAAGTAAGATTATTTTTTTTTTATAGACCATGTATGCAACCAGCCCGTATTCTGATCCTGTTGTGTCAATGGATCTTGATCCCCAACCAATTACAGATGAGGAAGAAGGCTTGATTTGGGTTGTTGGGCCAGTTCTTGCAGTGGTGTTTATCATCTGTATTGTTATTGCTATACTTCTTTATAAAAGGTAGGTTTATCTTTCAGTTCTAGGTATATAACTTCCTGATATATTGATCATTTTGGAATACTGTTCCACACTATACTTTTTTGTGCTACAAAAATGGATTGCCCTGATCTCATTGCTTCAGGATATTTCAGTATTTACTAATGGTTTTTAGAACACTGCAGCAATTTTTGACTGAAAGTTTCCAGTAATTACAGGTATGTGGGTACATATTTCTGCTGATGACACTTCATTAACACTTCTGCATTTAAATGTTTTTTTCCACTTTGCATACATTTGTATACATTTGTATGCAAAGAAAATAAATATGTGCTTTCTTATAAATATGTATGGAATTTGCACATTTGACTTTTTTAAAACTGATTTTTAGATGTATAATAGTAATACATTAGGGGTTGCATTCAGATTGATGTAAAATGTGATATTCATCTCCACTCAAGTAATATGAGTTTTTACTTTTGACAGTTGTCCTCAATTTGGCAGTGTATCTATGTGAGTTTGAAGTTCTGAACTAAGAGATTAAAGAGACATCAAACAGCTGTTTGCTACTAATCTTGCAATGAGATCAAATTTCACTTACTCTTCCTTCACTGTCTCTGACACAGATGTAGGTTTTCTATTACACAAAGGACTTCCCTCTGCCTTACAACATGCTCAATGAAAACTGTGTATGATGCTTTAATTTATATATAGCAGCCTTTTACAGTGTAAATTGAGTTCACAGAGGTCAAGATACTAAGTCAAAACCAATGAATCAAACTCAAAAAGTGTATTTTAATATTCAGATTTTGTTCCTAATACTTTTTTGGAATGTGTCGATAAAGTGTAACTGGGAAATACTATAAAGATGCTGCAAACTTCTGGGGAGGTGGTGCACTAGGAATAATTTCATTAAATGGATTATGTCTTCTAAAACTAATGGCTATGATGCTATCACCTGCATATAAATATTTAAATTCTGCCAGCGTGTGTTCTTTTCTCACCCTTAGTGTCTCCAGTCAAATACCTCTGAAGTTACACATGGAGAAGTGGCTTCAGGTTATGGAAAAGACTTCTCTGTTCATCAGTAGATAACCAGTCCACAGTTAGCTTTGGCTTTGGATTCCAAACTGATATACATTTATAGAATGTTTTAAGGCTGTAATCATGCAGCAGCATAACACATGGTCTGTTGCTTGCAAATACTATGTCTCCGGAAGGTTTCTATTCGTACATAGTATCTCAGACGATCTAACTGATTAGCAGCCAGGGAACCTGTTGCTTCAGAAACTGGTAATTAGAGATTTGCTAAAAGTGAAATATTCCTTTCTTCTGTTTATTTTGAAGTATTAAAAGTAAATCTCCCCCATACTACAAAACAAATCCAAACAATAGCATATAAAGCAGATGTGCAACTGCTTCTGGAAATACTGATTACATTTATGGAACCATAATAGCAATCTTCAAATCTATTAGCAAAAAAATAAACATAGGCAAATTCTGCAAATGAGCAGGTAAAATTTGGTCATCAGTAGTGTAAAGAGTTTGTCATTCACTGAAAATAGGGGACATATTTTCCATCTGTTATTTATTACTTGTACTTGAACTGTTCAGGCAAATGTCCATATGTATTTATTTATTTTTCTGTTTTCAGCTATTTACTCTAATTTGTTAAGCTGCACTGCTTTGGCAAATCACCTCTGAGAAATTATGACTGCAGTTTTACTAGCCTCTGGTCCTCTATGTGCTTTTCACTTCTGTAGAAAAGTAATATGTGAGTGGATATTTTTTTCAAGAGTATGCAACCTGGATGAAAGCTAACTGCTAGGTTTTGATAGACTTGGTGACTGTGGAAAAGCAATAACTAGACAAGACAGTAGAGATATTTAGCATACTGCTTGGAGAAAGCAGTGAAATTTAATTTTGGGGTTAAAAGGATTTACTGTGGCTGCAGGAGTTGGATAGAAAAATATACAAACAAAAACAAGAGGAAAACAAGAAATCTCCATACATCCAGGAAATTTTACAAATATATTTCTAGAATATATTAGGCAACAAGTGCAGCAAGTATGATAGAGAAGAAAGCAAAGGATAGAGGGCATCAGTCTAATACATGAACATACATGCAAAAAATATTAGAAAGAGGATGTTGTTGAAGGATGTGCAGTGTGAATAGAACAACTGAGAAATCGCCTTGTTTTTTGAAGTTCAAAGGGTGGCAACTCAAATAAAGGTCAACTATGCTTAATTCCCTTTGTCCATAGAAGCCTTTATGAACAGACTTGGACCACTAAGCTCATGATATACAGTACTACTTCTACATTTTAATTTCAATCACTGGGAAACAGTGACTGCAGTTTCTAAAAGACTCATTTTATGGGTAGAAGTCTTGCCCTTCTTGAAGCTACACTATCAGAGATAGGGTGGCTAAGTTGCACGTGTTGGTTTGAAGTATAGTTACCTATCGCAAAGAAAAGGAGTGCGTGTCTGACCTCTTGATTATTTGCTGGTAAGCCTTTGTAAAGGTTATTGCCTCTGCATTTGCTTTTCTTAAAGTCTGAAAGCAAAGATATTCCATAGAAAGGTTTTTGGATCATATATTAGAATATAGTCCAAAGGCCATTGCAGTAGAATAGATGGGTAACATAAGTGAATAGTACCTTTTTGGTCATTGGATATAGTAGCGATATAATAGCCCAAACAGCTGAGGCCGATTAATGTACTGTGTTCAGAAGACCTCACGGATTCATGGAACCAAAGTGTCACACCTCTGAAAATTGCCTCATCCCAGTCCTGCTCAGAGCATGACCAACTACAGCAGTTTGCTCAGAGGCATGTCCAGGCAAATTTCAGTACAGCCAAGAATAGAAACTCCATAAGCTTTCTGGGCATCCTGTTACACTGTTCAACTGTCCTCAAAGTAAAAATTATTTTTTCCTGGGTTACTGCTGAATTTCTTGCCTTTCTGGAGGTGATGTCTTGGCAAATGGAAGTGACTTGGCCGATAACCAGTTCAGTGTTCTGTGTCCTTGCAGTAGTGATACCGTCCTGCAGTCATAGTGAAGGGAGACACTTATTTTGGAGCAGATCTTTCAATCTATTGGATTTAAATAGAGACAATCAAATTTTAAGATCCAAGTAAATGAAATAAATCTCACTTTCTTTTTGGTCATTTTCTTGTCCTCAAAAAAATAAATTTTTTGCTCATTCAGACATGGCCTATATTAAGAGCATAATAAGATTGATATCCAAAATCTCAAAGGCTAACACTTACTTAGCTAGAGAGATGGTGCATACCTTAGAGGAAATGCCTAATTATGAGGGCTGTTTGAGTCACAGTTTATATTTTGAGTTGGTTTTGATAAAGCACTGCCTTGCTGCAGCAAGCATCTTTGGCAAACCTACAGTGAATCCTTTTAAATCAATTTTATGTGTGTGAAACATGTTCAATTACATAGGATTTGGGTGATTAGGAACCCAGTTAGTGAATGTTAAAGAACTCCAGAACTTGTTCAGTGTATCTCAGAAATGGACAAACAAGAAAGAAGACTGCATGTCCTCATGAAGCATTCCGTCATCTCATTGGTTTGGGGTTTTTTATTTGGACATTTGACTTTATGTGGCTATTCCTTTTAGTTTTTAATAAATTACATAGTCTCTAATTTCAGTCTCCCACTGTTGATGAGCAAAATGTTCCTCGTTTTAGAACTTTCAATTAGTAAGGAAGAGAAGTTAAAGCCATCCTGGTAGACTGTGGTATTTGCTTTTATAAGGTGTAGTTTTTTGATTTGGTTCAGAAGACTGGAGCCTAAGCTTGAATCTTGATACAGTGAACTTTGGCATTCTGAATCACAGCATCATAGAATCATAGAATAGTTTGGGTTGGAAGGGACCTTTAAAGGTCATCTGGTCCAACCCTTGCAGTGAGCAGGGGCTTCTTCAACCAGGTCAGGTTGCTCAGAGCCCTGTCCAACAGGACCTTGAATGTATCCAGGGATTGGGCCTCCACCACCTCTCTGGGAAACCTGTGCCAGTGTTTTCTCACCCCTCATCATAAAAAATTCCCTCCTTCTAGTTGGTCTGTATCTACCCTGTTTTATTTTAAAGCCATTACGCTTTGTCCTGTCATTACAGGCTCTCCTAACTAGTCTGTTCCCATCTTTCTTATAAGGTCCCTTTAAGTACTGGAAAGTCTCACTGAAGCCTTCTCTTCTCCAGGCTTAAAAACCCAAGTTCTCTAAGCCTTTCCTCACAGAATGTTTAAGTGTTCAATCCCTCCGATCATTTTTGTGGCCCTTCTCTGGACCCACTCCAACAGGTCCATGTCTCCTTTTCTGACAAACCCAGAGCTGGACGCAGCACTCCAGGTAGGGTCTCACCATCGTGGAGTTGGGGTGCAGAATTCACTTCCCTTGACCTGCTGGTCACCTGCTCAATCTTGATCTGTAAGAAGAAACATGCTTCTAAGGCAAAAAAAAATCCCAAATGTTAAAAATAAGGCCAAAAATGAAAATCAAGGAGTCTTAAGCGATGATGAAGAGTTCTTATAAAGACTTTTTCATAACATGTATGTAATCTGGTCATTGCAACCTACAACTATTTAAAGTTTGTAAAGCCCCTGTTTAATATAATCAACAGACAGGCTGAAGGACAAACACTGTATTTGCAGTGTGTGTATACAGTAAATTGTTGGTAGGAGGTAATAAATTATTTTCCCTGTTTACCTGATCTTTATAGATCACAAATTACTACAGGTCTATACAGATCACTATGGACACCTAGTATGTGATATTCTTTCTAAATCTAAAAAAGTGCATAATAGTTTGTTGGAAAAAGGTTTATGCTTACCTTACTTTCCAGGGTACGGTAAAAATTTCTTGTTATCGCCTGCCTTTGTAATATAGTTTTAAAAGGTTTCATTTATTTTTATTCTTCTTTTAAATTTACTGCAAGTCATATGTGTCTCATGTATTTAACCTTCTTCACTTGCCTTTCTCCCCCTCTGCTTATCCCTTTCTCTCCTTCCCATTCTACTCTGCCCTCTGCTTCCATTTTTCCTCTCCTCCCTCCCCACTCATCTCTCTTCTCTCTAAAATGTAAGACGGAACTACATCTTAGTGAGATGTAACTTTTCAATGTCATGTTAACATTACTTTGATAGCTCAAATTAAATACCAATTCTTCATTATCTCACTAGCTAAAATTTGAAGTCTCATTTCTTTGCAGATAGTGTCTAAGAGAAATGTATTTCTTAGCAGAAGATTCACTTTGGACTTGACCTTTTGTCCTTCATTTATTCTGTGATTCCCAAGCATTAAAAATTTTGATGCAGTGTCATTTCTTAGTTTGGTTTAGTTATATATCTTTACTGTAAGTCAGCATTTCTTATATCTCCTGTTTTCATGCTTATCCTCTGTGCTGCTGGTCAACTAACATTTCACCTTTTCTCCCCTCTTTGCTGCATTAAAATGGAGCAGTAAACCTGACAGGTGAGAAATGAAAAGTAATCACTCTTCATTTAATACAGAAAAGGAGAAAAAAAAGGGGAAAAAAAAAGTTAGCATGATAATGATGTAAGACAAACCATCTGTCAGTCTTAAGTGAATGTGGATAGTAATCCATCAATATGAGGGCAACTGTATGATTTGCTGTGTTATGTACAGCACTGAAAATCAATGTCATAAAAGCAGCAAAGGCTCACTGCCTTTTTTTGTGTCCTCATGAGGTACATTTTCAAGAGGTACCAGAGATATACAATGTACATTTTGCTTTGTTTGTGTTATAGTGAAGTTGAATTAGTGGGTGGTTTCAGTTATCAAAGTTCTTGAAGGAAATGCATGGTTGTAGTCAAAGTGTTAGCTGCACTGCCTCTCTGTAATGCTCCATACACATAGATTCAGTGACAACTTAGAGTTCTACAAGCCAAAATGATATGGTGATCTTGTTTGTGGATTTGTTTTCCCTGCCTTTCTCAAAATCATTCCATAACCTGAAAGAATTGTGATGCCTTGTATAGGCTGGAAAGATAAAAAAACCCTCCAGAATGATCCTGAGAATAAGTACTAAACCATTCTGTTATCCTGTAAGTATTCAAAATATTCAGATCCATGATTAGAAGAGATTTTAGTGCTTTCAGTAGATTAATATGAAATTATGCTGCCCAGTACTGACTTGCATGTGGAAAAAAGGTAAATGAAGTTTGTCTCTGGTCAGTTCCAGAGTCTTAAGAAGACTTAAGACTCATAAACCTAAGAAGAGGGAAATATAGATTAAAAGACTTCTTGAAAGTTACATCACACACCTTTACATAAAAAGAAAGAGCACTAGGGCATTATGCTACTGTGGTAGGAGTTTGTGGTCTTCAAAATTTAAAGGAATTTCAACTGAGTTTATCCATAATAATTTTGTTTAAAAAATGAGTAAAACCAGAAGAATCAGATCTAAATTTTTAGCACTTCACTGAAGAGAAGTTAATACATGTGTTAAGGTATTTACCAGAAAACAGATGGAGTGTTTTTACAGTAAAACGTTTTTACATATTTCAATAAAATCATAGGACTAGTGACTTTCACAGAATTTCTGCAACAGTATTGCTGTTTGGCTTGTTTGCATAGTCTTTGAAATCTTGCTGTATTTCACCAGGTTTTCATCCTTTTAAAACCATCAAGAAATCAACCAGACCATTTTTAAGAATGGAGTCCAGTGGAATAAAAGATTTAGCATTGTAACATTGTGATTCAATTAAAGCAGAAAAAAAAGAAAAAGGTGTCATGCCAAAGTAGTATATTGGGCACCTGGAAAAGATTTTGCTATCATCAAATTTTAAATCATCTCATTTCTGTTTTCACAAAGTAACTCTTCCTCTGTTTGCTTCTTCCTTTTATATTACATAAGGAATATCAGCCAGTTTGTGTTGTCATTCAGGAGCCCAGAGAGGACTAGTGGAGAAGCATTCCACTTGCTGTATAAAAATGCAGTGTGGTAGATTCTCTTCATCTAACTGCTTCTCCATGTTTTACATCAGAAATGATACACACAAATGATTGGAATCCATTTTACCAGAAAAGTCAGAGTTAGAACACGAACTCTACTTCTCTCTAGTGAAAAGGAAACATGCAAGTTTCTTTCTCTTTCTTTCTCTTTCATTCTCTTTCTTTCTCTTTCATTCTCTTTCTTTCTCTTTCATTCTCTTTCTTTCTCTTTCATTCTCTTTCTTTCTCTTTCATTCTCTTTCTTTCTCTTTCATTCTCTTTCTTTTCCTTCCTTCCTTCCTTCCTTCCTTCCTTCCTTCCTTCCTTCCTTCCTTCCTTCCTTCCTTCCTTCCTTCCTTCCTTCCTTCCTTCCTTCCTTCCTTCCTTCCTTCCTTCCTTCCTTCCTTCCTTCCTTCCTTCCTTCCTTCCTTCCTTCCTTCCTTCCTTCCTTCCTTCTGTTGTGGACAGATTGGCAGGAGCATCATAATTGCAGTGAAAGTCTTATTTTGATTAAAAATATTCATACAGAATAGGAACCTTGAATGTATGTAGGTGTCATCAGACACATGAAGCATGTGTAGTTCAGCTCTGACAGAGATGAGAGGAAACAGAGCAAAGTCTTGTTTCCTACGAAATTAATAGGTGTCTTCTGGGATAAGTGTCTTCTGTACTGTTCTCTGCCATATGAGAAATATCAAAAAAGTGGAATTTATTTTTTATAACAATGCAGAGCTATATGTATGAAATATTTAATGATAATAAGCTGGGCTGTTAATTTCTGATTACATGCTCAAGAGTTGACTACGTTTTAATGAAGGTATAGCTAGATAGCTTCTAAAATAGAGAATAGTGTGAATTTTTGCAAGTTTAGTGAGAAAACTTTTAATAGTAATGCATTTGGGTGGCCAGAATGGTGTTCTGGAGGATCAGTCTAGAGCAGAATGCAGCTCTTTTGTCTCTGACATTACTATATTCAGGTTCATTTTGCCATCACAAATTGTAGGTACCCTACCCACCGTAATTATTTTACCTTTGCACTGGATCAAGTAGTCGCTCAGAAAAAAAACTTCTCACCTTTAAAATATAATGATTAAATACTCAGGAACCTTTGCTAAGCTAACTCATCTGTCTTATGTTTATGTCTGTTCATTTTCCCCATGCAGGAAGAGGGCTGAATCTGACTCTAGAAAGAGCAGCATACCCAACAGCAAGGAGGTTCCCTCTCACCATCCCACGGATCCAGTGGAGCTGCGACGCCTTAACTTTCAAACTCCGGGTAAGAGACGATACTACATCACTGAGAGCTCCGTGATCTCAGGCTGACTAGTGGTGCCTTACAGAAAAGAAAGATTGATTGTTTAGAAAAATATGTTTTGATAGCTTATGAGGTTTTGCTCAATATCGTTCTTTGTTAGCTTTGGAAATAATTCTGTAATTTCTTTATTTAAGGAAAAGTTCTGCATGATACAAAATTGAAGTCCTGTAAAGAAGGGCCCAAAGTCACATATGCTGTATGGATGTGTTTTGTGTGCTGAAATTCCAAGTTAAACGTAACAATGCTAGAAAAGATTATTGGGAAATGTACATCCCTTTATTTACTAACAATATTCTTACAGCCACTTCTTTGTAAATAAGCTTCCTTCCTATCTACTGCATTATGGGGTAATCTATTAAATTCACTGTGAGTTTCACTGGAATGTACAATACAGTAAAGAAATAGTAACTAGATAAATGGTCTGGTCTTTGAAAATAAGACTCTATGTTATGGTCAAGAAGGATATTAACATGTCAGTAGTTCTGAGCATAGAAGCAACATGCTCCCAAATGTTTTATTAAAATTTTTTTTAATTAAGCATTGTTTTCTTAAAGCTGTTGAGTCTGATTGTCAAGAAACACCAGGAGAGAAGTACTTAAAATAGTATTGATTTTTTACCAGCTTTTTAGGAGTCGATTTTTTTTTCTCAGATTGGCTTTACTTTGATCATGTTGTACTCCAGTAGACTTGTTTTCTATTACAATATGTTTGCACACAGTCCCACTCTGATGCTAATTATGTGCTGAATTTTCATGAGCTTTGTGTTCATCAAACTTAGTACATGAAGTACAAAAAATAGTGAATTCAAGCCCATAAAATCAGGAAATTATGTGCTTGAGATGCTGAGAGATTCACTGCAGAAGCTGACGTACTAAATACTACTAAAGGGATAGCTGAACTTGCAAATATAATTTCTGATCTTCTAAACAGTTACTTTATTAAGATAATGTTGCCTTAGCAGGAGTGGATCTGCAGAGCAATGCACATGGCTAAAGCCCCACACTGCATGCATGTGGCAGAATCAAAAAAGAAACAGGCTGGAGTTTTACCCCAGCCCTCATTTTTCAGTCTGTTCTAGTACACCGAATGTTCTTAGTAGCAGGGGCAAATTTGGTGTGTTTCTTCTAGTTTAGTTTCATCTCAGTGTGGGAATCTCATTGACATGCTCTGAGACCTCTCTGCAGTATGAATTTAAGTGCAGAAAATGGAAATGATTGAAAAGTTTTTATTCACAATTGTCCTTCTGAGACTGCAATCTTAATGTAGGCTCATCATTCCTAAGTAAAGTTTTCATCTGTTATTCAACACTTTCATACAAAGTTTTAAAGGTTTTTACAGAGCTGGAGGTATGCATGCAAGTCTTTGAAACATCAGAAGAAAAAGAATGGTTCTTAAAGTCTAGCTTATGCCTAAAACAAGTCATTATTTGTGTACAGTTACATATTGAGTGAATGGCTTAATAGAATCATAGAATCATTTTGGTTGGAAGCGATCATTGAGTCCAGGCATTAACCAAGTACCACCACGTTCAACAATAAACCATGTCCCAAAGTGCCACATCCACACATCTTTTGAACACTCCAGGTCCGGTGATTCCACCACTTTCCTGAGCAGCCTGTTCCAATGCCTGATGACCCCTTCAGTGAAGAGATTTTTCCTGATATCCAATCTGAACCTACCCTGGTGCAACTTGATGCTGTTTTCCCTTCTTCTATCACTTCTTGCCTGGGAGAAGAGACTGACCCCCACCTTGCTGTAACTTCCTTTGAGGTAGTTGTACAGAATAATAAGGTCCCCCCCGAGCCTCCTTTTCTCCAGTCTAAACAATGCTAGCTCCTTCAGCCACTGCTCATAAGACTTGTGGTCTAGACCATTCACCAGCTTTGTTTCCCTTATCTGGACATACACCAGCACCTCAATGTCTTTCATAGGATGAGGAGTCCAGAACAGAAGCAGAATTCAAGATGCAGCCTCACCAGTGCCAAGTACAGTGGCATGATTTCCAAACTAGACCCGCTAACCGCACTATTTCTGATACAAGCCAGGATGTCAGGATGATCTGCACAATGACCTTCTGTGGCACTGAGGTCAGATTGACAAGCCTCTAGTTCCCTGGATCCCTAAGACTGCTGGTACATGAGGG